GAGATGGCAAGGTAGAGGTATACCATGCTGAAAGCAAATTGTCCTCAAGATTACGTAAGACGGTCAAAAGGAACATATGGGTATACTACAAAACTATGTTTGGAAGGGGGGACTGCAAGAGGGTCATCGAATTTAGGGAATCGGTGATGAATGCGTTCTCTTATCTGAGGTTGAGTAGAGGTAGGCCAAGATCCCCAGCCAGAGATCATAGAAGAAGAAGAAGCAGCCGCCTCATCCCATGCAGAAGGCTTTGTTGCAGAAGAAGAGCTTCCGATATCCATAGTTGCAAATTTTGTTCCAAAGAATTGTAAGCAATAGGTTCTTGGTTCGAAGGTCGTTGATTTGCAAAAGCTTCCAGAACTTGTATAAATGGAGGTGGGTACGGGTGGCTAATCAATGCATGAAGGTTCTTTCGAGGACGAATAGCATTATCAAACAACTCTTCGTATGTTTGATCCATGTAAGAAAGGGTTTGCTTGGCCATGAGAGTTGTATCAGTCTTTTTGAGTACTTCGATAGTGAAAAATGTTCAAGGAAAAGAAGAGAATTTAATGCAGATGTTTCATTGATGAATGACGGCTGCAAAACCCATGCAAGTTCTAAGACGTGGATAAAATGCCTTGTTTTATAGTGGTCTATTGATTCCTTCTTGAAAGTCTTGTTGCAACCTCTTGAACTCTCTCATCAGCATTTTTATTGCAACTTGGTTGCCACTTCTGTAATGCAAAACTCTCACTAATGCAAACTTAATTGAAAAGTCTCCTCCCACTCTCATACACTCTACGCTTCATTTGGGAAATCAAAGGTTAGACTTTTTTTTTGACTAAAATAGTTACGAAAAATAAATTAGATTTTTTAGTCACAAAAAATAAAATATCACATCCAACTTCTAATCATTATAATCTTTCTCTCACAAAAAAGTCAAAAAAGCTAAAAGTCCTTTCCAAACGAGATTTTTTTATCCCCAGACTAAACTAGCTAAAAAAGTCAAAAAACTAATCCACTTCCCAAACGAACCCTAAATGCAGAAAAAACAACAGTAATTAATAAACAATATAGTCAATTTATTATACAAAAATGCACATGAAAATGTTATATACTATGAATGTTTATTTCGAAACCTATTTTGAAAGTGAAGTGAGTGATGTAAAATTAAAATTAATGAGAAGGATATCACACACATAATGAATGTAATATATTTATTTATATTTTTTGAGTAATTTTTTAAAGTACTTAGGCCTCGTTTGGGAACAGGCTGTTTTAGTAACTTTTTGATTTTTTGGCTAAAATATTATGTAAAAAAAATTAGTATGCTTGGGATGACTTTGTAATTTTTTACGAAAAGATGTGCAAAAAGTAGAAAGAAAATGGAGTCTTTGACTTTTGGTATAAGTTGTTAGTTTTTTAATTTTTTTAGTGATTTTTTGGGTAAAAAAACCACTTGCCAAATGAGGCCTTAATGTTATATTATATAGCATGAAAATGGTACAATTTAACTTGGGATAAAATCTATAATACACAATTCTTTTTTTTTGGGGGGGAGGGGGTGGTCGGTTTAGGGTTTGGGTATGGGGCCATTGTTGTGCGCTTTTTGGACTCATTTTAAGACCCATTTCAATAATTTGAATCGTTCACTTTTTAAAATATATCAAGTAAAACATATATGCAAAAAATTAAATTGATTAAATAATAGTAACCATTTCATCAAATCACATTTGCCTATATTATAAAATATCATTTTTGAGTTTAATGTAAGATTATGGTTTAATTTAAACTCAATGTAAATGTATATAAAATGTCAAAAATATTTTTTTTTTCTTTGAAAACATCATTTTCTGTCAATTTTACTTAATGATAATAGACTAATAGTTTATGTTAAAGACAAATTAAAATGGGATTTTTATTGATAAGTCCAATTTAGAAGTGTTTTAACCCAATAAATCCATGAAGGAATTTTTTAACCCATTTAGTCCCATGTATGTATAGTTTTATTCCATAAAGTCCATTTTCTTAATTTACACTATTTTCTTGGACACTTATACCCTTATATTAAATTTTGATACCTTTATAAATATTTTTTGAACGATTAGCAATTTAATGATGTGAACATTCATATTTTTAAATTCACATTGGTAGGAATGTAAAATTGGCTCGTGGGTGGCCCGAAATCCGCCTGTAAGCCGGGGCGGGCCCGGCCCGTTGACAATGTGAATATTCACATTGACATATTAACATTCACATTAATAGGAGTGTAAAATTGGTCCGCGTCCCGTGGCGGCGTGAAACCCGCTCGCGGCCCATAGGCGGCCCGGGGCGGGCCCGGTCCGGCCCATTGACAATGTGAATATTCACATTGACATGTTAACATTCACATTGATAAGAGTATAAAATTGGCCAGCAGCCCAGGGCGGGCCCGACCCGACCGGGCCCGTTGACAATGTGAATATTCACATTGACATATTAACATTCACATTAATAGGAGTGTAAAATTGGCCCCCGTTCTGTGGTGACGCGAAACCCACCCACGGCCCATGGGTGGCCTGGGGCGGGCCCGGTCCGGCCCGTTGACAATGTGAATATTCACATTGACATGTTAACATTCACATTGATAAGAGTATAAAATTGGCCTGTGGCCCATGGGCGGCCAAAAGCCCCCCAGCGGCCCGAGGCGGGCCCTGCCCGGCCCGGCCCGTTGACAACGTGAATATTCACATTGACATGTTAACATTCACATTGATAAGAGTGTAAAATTGGCCCGCAGCCCGTGGGCGGCCCAAAGCCCGACTGAAGCCCGAGACGGGCTTGGCCCGACCCGTGACAATGTGAATATTCACATTGACATGTTAACATTCACATTGATAGGAGTATAAAATTAGCCTGCACCCCGTGGCTGCCCGAAACCCGCCCACGGCCCAGGGTGAGCCCGGCCCGGCCTGTTGACAATGTAAATATTCACATTGACATGTTAACATTCACATTGATAAGAGTGTAAAATTGGCCCGTGACCCATGGGCAGCTCGAAGCTCGACCTCGAGCCAGGGCGGGCCCGGCCCGTTGGCAATGTGAATATTCACATTGACATGTTAACATTCACATTGATAGGAGTGTAAAATTAGCCCGCAGCCCATGAGAGGCCCGAAGCCAGATCGCAGCCCGAGGCGGGCTTGGCCCGACCCGTGACAATGTGAATATTCACATTGACATGCTAACATTAACATTGATAGGAGTGTAAAATTTGTCCGTTGCCCGAAGCTTGCCCGCGGCCCGGGGTATGCCCGAACCCAAACCCGGGCAGCCCATGGAACGCGAGTCAATTTTACACTCTTATCAATGTGAATGTTAACATGTATGTGAATATTCACATTCTCAACAGATCGGGTTGGGCCCGCCTCGGGTCACCCACGGGCCGTAGACGGGTTTCGGGCAGCCACGGGGCACGGATTAATGTTACACTCTTATCAATGTGAATGCTAACATGTCAATGTGAATATTCACGTTGTCAACGGGCCGGGCCCGTCCCGGCCCGGGGCCGGACTTCAGGCTGCTCACGGGTCACGGGCCAATTTTACACTCTTATCAATGTTAATGTTAATATGTCAATGTGAATATTCACATTGTCAACGGGCCGGAATTATTATTATCCGG